CGAATGCGGCGACGATTTCGGCTTCAGCATGAAGTTCCTCGCGACAACATTGGACGGCTGCGACGTGCTGCTGGGACGGGATTGGCTGCGACGGCACAACCCCGTCATCGACTGGACAACGGGATCGTGCAGCATCAACAAGCACGAGGGGCTAATTAAACTGCCTGCATGGACACCTGACTACATCCAAGCCCCGTGCGTCAAAGCTATCACTATAGCTCGCCACTTCAACAGGGGCGCGCAGCTGTTCGCTGTTTGCTTACGCGAGTTGGCAGTGGACACCGACGGAAAAGACATCGAGAAGCTGTGTGCAGCTGTACCACCGGATTTAGCGGAGCTGATTCGGAGGTACCCGGACATTTTCCGTGACGACCTGCCACCTGGACTGCCACCCGAGAGACCCGAGGACCACAAAGTCCAGCTGGAACCTGGCGCGCAGCCGACTGTTCGGACACAGTGGCGGTTGACCCAGCCGGAACTCGAGGAGCTGCGAAGTCAAATTGACGCACTGTTGGAGAAGGGATTCATTCGGGCCAGCACGTCTCCCTTCGCAGCACCGATCTTGTTCACTCCGAAGAAGGACGGCGGGCTTCGCATGTGCATCGACTATCGCGCGCTGAACCGGGTCACCATCAAGTCTCGCTATCCAATCCCACGCACCGACGACCTCCTCGACCAACTTCGCGGCGCTCGCTATTTCTCGAAGATTGACTTACGTGGCGGTTACCACCAGATTCGAGTCTTCGCCGACGACTGTTACAAGACTGCGTTTCGCACACGCTACGGGAGTTACGAATTTACAGTGATGCCTTTCGGCCTCACGAACGCGCCTTCGACATTTCAACTCACCATGAACAGGGTTTTTCGGGATCTTCTAGACCGATGTGTCATCGTCTACTTGGACGATATCCTGATTTTTAGCAAGACAAGGGAGCAGCACCTCCGCGACCTTGATGCAGTGTTTAAGCGGCTGCAGGAGAACCGACTCATCACCAAGGGCTCTAAGCGCGAGTTTTTAAAGCAGGAGTTGGAGTTTTTGGGGCACGTCATCTCGCGCGACGGCATTAAAATCGACCCGGCGAAAATCAAGACCATACAGGAGTGGAAGTCCCCGACGAATGTCACGGAACTCCAGAGTTTTCTGGGATTTGTGAATTACGTCAGGCGGTTTATCCCGAATATGGCGGGGATAACCGGCCCGCTGACCGACCTGCTGCACAAGGACAGGAATTTTGTGTGGGGGGAGGAAGCAGAAGCGGCTTTCCAGGAACTCAAGAACTTTCTCGTTTCCCCTCCTGTGCTGCGCATCGCCGACCCATCGAAGCCGTTCGAAGTTGTCAGAACTTATATTTGTAACTGCCTGTAGCTGTAGTTAGTGTAGTTATTATAAACTTAGTTTGGTGGTGCACCTTCTTTGTTTTCCTATGCTATATGTTCCTTGAAACCTATAGTGAAATCATCCTTCCCAACTTTCTCGACACTTTTCCCTTGGCACAACTCACTCGACATCCTCCTTGGGCCTAGGCTCCTAAGCCTAGGCCCTAGTTAAACCTAGCATCTAACTCCATCCTCGTTCTCCTTTTATCATGCTATCAGAGCGTTTTACGTCCTGGCCTGTGGGCCCGCCAATATGTTTCCGCTGCTATTTTTTCTCGGTCGCGCGCCTAGGGCGCGTGGCGATTTTCTCTTGTCCCGCCCCCGGTTGGCGAGTGACTCCTTCTCTGCCCGTCGCGCGCCCCGTGGCACGCGACGGTGCCCTAAACCTGCCCGTCGTGCGCCCCGTGGCACGCGACGGTGCCCTGCTCGTCGTGCGCCCCGAGGCACACGACCGGGCCCTAAACTTAAACTTGCCCGTCGTGCGCCCCGTGGCACGCGACGGGCCCTCTCCGCACCTGCTCTCCCTGCAGCCGCCCCTGACCTACCTGCGCCGACACAATGTAGCCGCTCTGCGGCTTTCTTCCCGCCCACCTCCTCCTCCTTTGTTTCCCTGCAGCCGTGGGGAGGAGGGTATGGGGGTGGCGGGTGTTGGAGCTTTGGGTCGTTTCCTTCCCTTCCCCTCCTCCTCCTTTCGTTCCCACTGCTGCAGCTGCCGCTGGGGGGGAGGGTGTGAGGGTGTGGGGGAGAAGGGGGAGTGGCACCGGGGTGGCGGGTGTGAGGCAACCAGCAGCCGTCCCTCCACCTCTCCTCTCTTCCCCCCCCTCTCTGCTGCTCCTGCAGCAGTGTGGGGGAGGGGAAGGAGGAGGGTGAGGAGATGGAGTGGGTGACCAGCTAGTGTCAGCCCGCCTGCAGTTCCTGCTGTTGCTTGTTTATTATTTTGCATGTGTACACCTGCAGGTTGTATTCTGCACAAACTCCTGCTGCAGGCAGTTATGGGGGAGTGTCAGAACTTATATTTGTAACTGCCTGTAGCTGTAGTTAGTGTAGTTATTATAAACTTAGTTTGGTGGTGCACCTTCTTTGTTTTCCTATGCTATATGTTCCTTGAAACCTATAGTGAAATCATCCTTCCCAACTTTCTCGACACTTTTCCCTTGGCACAACTCACTCGACATCCTCCTTGGGCCTAGGCTCCTAAGCCTAGGCCCTAGTTAAACCTAGCATCTAACTCCATCCTCGTTCTCCTTTTATCAGAAGTTGTAACCGACGCCTCAGATTTCGCCATCGGAGCTGTGCTTCTCCAAGATTTTGGGAACGGGTTGCAGCCGATCGCCTACGAATCACGCAAGCTGCAGGCAGCCGAACGCAACTACCCGATCCACGACAAGGAGATGCTCGCCATCATACACGCGTTTAAATTATGGCGATGCTACCTGGTGGGCGCCGACGTCACTGTTCGCACGGACCACAAGTCCCTACAGTACCTGCGAGCCCAACCCAACCTCAACCCACGACAGATTCGGTGGTTGGACTACATGGAGAGCCACTTCACCTACCGCATCACGTACAAAAAAGGGGCGAATAACATCGCCGACGCCCTGACCCGCCGACAGTACAATCCGCTGCAGTACTCATCACCCACTCGAACCCGTTACTTACTGGACTATTTACCCACGGCTACACTACGGACCCAATCTTCACGACGGGAAATCATCAGCAGGCTACGACGCAGAAAGGGGACTATTACCTAAAAGCCGGAACCGACCGGATTTGGGTTCCCGCTTACAGGCTGCTGCGTGAACTCCTTATCCAAGAGGTCCACGATTCTAATTTCTCCGGACACTTCGGGGTTGATAAAACCCAGAAATTACTGAACCGTCAATAATACTGGCCTGACTCCTCTAACGACGTGCAGCGCTATGTGTCCTCATGCAGGGTGTGCCAAGCTATAAAATCGACACGTCAACGACCAGCTGGGCTGCTGCAACCCCTCGAGCCACCCGAACGACCGTGGCAACAGGTGACAATGGATTTTTTCACGGGGATGCCACCTGGACCGTCCGGCAATGACGCAGTGCTCGTCGTCGTCGATCGCTTCACGAAAATGGCACACTTCGCCCCATGCCGAACGACAATCACAGCCGAAGAAACTACGCGCCTCTTCATCTCAACGGTCGTGCGACTGCACGGCATCCCTTCGGCGATCATCAGCGACCGAGACCCGAAGTTCACATCAAAGTTCTGGAAGGAGACGTGGGCGCAGTACGGCACGAAGCTACAGTTCTCATCGGCATATCACCCACAGACGGACGGTCAAACCGAGCGGACCAATCAGACCATGGAGCAGCTCATCAGGACAAACTGCCCCGACCCTGCCCGCTGGGAAGAATCCCTCGCAATGTTGGAGTTCGCTTTCAACAACGCGCCGTCCAGCACAACTAATCACTCCCCGTTCTTCCTGAATTACGGGATGGACCCGACAGTCCCTACAGCAACTACTCTCGACAACCCGGTCCCGAGGTCACAGACTTTTGTGACGGAACTTCAGGAAACCCGAGAAAAAGCCGCAGACGCAATTCGCAAGGCGAATATCACTTCCCGCAAATACACCGACCTTCTACGCCGGGAGCTCGTCTTGACTACTGGGCAACTAGTGCTACTCGACACGAAGAACCTGCACCTGCCCGGCCCGTCGAAACTACGGCCACGATTTTGTGGGCCCTTCAAGATTATCAAGATGGTGACACCTGTCACCGCGAAGCTGCTGCTACCCGACGACTGGCGCATTCATGACGCCTTCCACGTCAGCCTGCTTCGGAAGTTCGTGCCAGCCACGACTGACATCGCGCGGCAACAAGCTGCCCCAACTGCACGACCTGTCCCGGAGCCGACCCTCGATCCTTCGAAGATTCTGGCACATCGGGTTCGCCTTGACGCAGTTGGTCGCCACGCGGATTTCCTGGTCCGTTGGACCGACCGCACCAGTGAGGACGACACGTGGGTGCACTCTGACTCGCTGACCGCCTCGTCACTTGTTGGTGATTACTTGGCGCGCAAGCGTGTTTCGGATATTGACCGCCTTTTTTAAGGGGGGGGGTAGTGTAAGGAATTTTCCTTAATTCCTTATCGGGCTTGACTGCTTCGCGTACAGCCCGATTTTTGGACTTTGCACGTTCGGCCGATTTCAACGCTGCCGAGGCTCCTCGCGTCGCCTTCGGCATTTCCCATCGCCAAACCTGCACCCCAACCTCGCTCGTCCGAGGTTTCCTCCTAGCTAGGCTAGCTCCTACATTAGTGTGTTCCTTCATTGTATTCTCAGATCAGTTAATCACAATCTCGTTGTTCGTTTACCTGCGCACTCTCTTTTACAACTCATAACATTTACAAAAATCGAGTAACCCCGCAGTGTCCCGAGTCGGAAAGAGTGCGTATACCTTTACTGTCGTGTCTCCATGTGTGCTTCGGGGCCGAGACTCTGACGGACAGTGCATCGAAACTCGCGGCGCGGTACCATCCTGAAACGGGCACTCCAACCTCCGCCGCCCCGCGCCCTCTTTAAGCGCTGACGTCACCTCGACACGTCGTCCGCCGTCCAACGTGTTCTCGCCACTCGCTCCCCCGCGCTAGCCGCAACCCCTATGCTGTCCCGCGAGCCCACGCGTCACCCGCGCGCCACGCGTGCGGCATAGAGGCGGGCCGGGCGTGCCACACAAAGGCTGGTGCGCCGCGCCACGCCAGTCGCGCTCATCCACCCCACCCCCGTCGGTCGTAACCCTTTCCATGCGCCCCTCCATGCGCCCCTCCATGCGCCCCACCGTGCCCCTCCGCGCGCCTTTTTTCCGAATTCTGCCCTGCCTATCGTATCCCGCAGGCATTTCTCCCCATCTAATCCCACTCCCTCTCCCCTTTCCATCTCCAGACACTGGCAGCGGAGAGGACGCAGTGAGAGCGATAGCGGAGGCGGGGAGAGCGAGAGGAGGAGTGAGAGGGGCAGCGAGAGGCGCAGCGTGAGGGGGAGCGGAATGGCGGGGTCGGCGCGGCTGCAGCGTCTCTGCCTCACCACACACCGCCAGCTGCTCGCACAGAGGTGACAGTTACCGCACTGCACCACATTGCACCGCATTCCCTCACACCGCACTGCACCATGCTGACACTCACGAACATGCGGGCATGCATGCAACGCATTGCCGCATGCGCCTCCTCACCCCCTGCAACCTTCCTCCCCGCTCACCCCTGCGCTTTTCCTCTCCCCTCCCTCCTTCGCCTGCCCCTCACGCTCCCAGCGTCGTCGTTCCCACACCCGCCCCGCCCATTGCCATGCAACCGCGTGTGAGGGCGTGGCAGAGGGGGCGGACGGGGGGAGGGGGATGGGGGGAGGGAGCAGGGCAGGGCGGGGGGGAGCAGATGTGTGGGCGAAGGCAGGCAGGCATCAGCAGGTGCGGCAGTGGCGCGTGGCGTGGTGTGAGTGGCGCTGCGAGGCCTGTGGTGTGGCTGCCACGGGCGCACGGCAGCGAGCAGCGGTGCCGCACGCTAAGGGCGGGCAGGAGGGCAGTGCGCGCTGTGGGTGGTGGAGCTGGGGCGGAGCAGGTGGGAGAAGGGGTGAATGACGAGGAGGGGAGGGTGGGGGATGTGGCGGGGCAACGCCTTGTATTGGGGGCGTCGGGGGCGGTGGAGAAGGAGAAGGGGAAGGAGGAGGGGAAGGAGGAGGGGAAGGAGGAGGAGAAGGGGAAGGAGGAGGGGAAGGAGGAGGGGAAGGAGGAGGGGAAGGGGAAGGAGGGCACGCGGGCAGGCAGCAGCAACCGCGTTCTATTCTGCTCACAGTGCGGCTCTCCCACTAATCACATTGTGCCACCCGGTGAGTGCCTTGCTGTCAACCTCCCTGTGATGATGATCATGATCATCATGATCATGATCATGATCATGATCATGATCATGATCATCATCATCATCATCATCATCATCATCATCATCATCATCATCATCATCATCATCATCATCATCATCATCATCATCATCATCATCATCATCATCATCATCATCATCATCGTCGTCAACCCAACCCCCATCCCCATCCCCACCCCCACCCCCATCCCCATCCCCACCCCCATCCCCATCCCCGTCCCCATCCCCATCCCCATCCCCATCCCCATCCCCACCCCCATCCCCATCCCCATCCCCACCCCCGCCCCCACCCCCATCCCCATCCCGACCCCCATCCCCATCCCCACCCCCATCCCCATCCCCGTCCCCATCCCCATCCCCATCTCCATCCCCATCCCCACCCCCATCCCCATCCCCATCCCCACCCCCATCCCCATCCCCATCCCCACCCCCACCCCCATCCCCATCCCCATCCCCATCCCCATCCCCGCCCCCATCCCCATCCCCGCCCCCATCCCCATCCCCGCCCCCATCTCCATCCCCGCCCCCATCTCCATCCCCATCCCCATCCCCATCCCCATCCGCATCCCCATCCCCATCTCCATCCCCATCCCCACCCCCATCCCCATCCCCATCCCCATCCCCATCCCCATCCCCATCCCCACCCCCATCCCCACCCCCATCCCCATCCCCATCCCCATCCCCATCCCCATCCCCATCCCCACCCCCATCCCCATCCCCATCCCCATCCCCATCCCCATCCCCGTCCCCATCCCCATCCCCATCCCCATCCCCATCCCCACCCCCATCCCCATCCCCATCCCCACCCCCGCCCCCACCCCCATCCCCATCCCGACCCCCATCCCCATCCCCGTCCCCATCCCCATCCCCATCTCCATCCCCATCCCCACCCCCATCCCCATCCCCATCCCCACCCCCATCCCCATCCCCATCCCCATCCCCATCCTCATCCCCATCCCTGTCCTCCACTGTCCCACCCGTCGGTGAGAATCTAGCAGCTCGCATCCTTGTCGCCGTCCCCCACCTCGCCTGACCCATCCCAACCCAAGGATGTCCCCGTAGCACCACTCACCACCGCCCCGTCCACTCTGTCCGTGTGCTCCTTCCGCCCATCCTCCCTCCCGCTCCTTGTCAACGCCCCGTGCACGGTGCACCCACTGTGCCTCACCATTCCGTCCCTCCCCCCTTCTTCCATCGCTCGTATCTCCCCTCCCTCCCTCCTTCCACCCCCTCGATCCCACGGGCAGGGGACGACAAGGCAAGGGACGTGTGCAGCAGCGAGCGGTGTGGGCGCGTGCACTACGCCAACCCTCCCTCCCCTCCCCCCCGTCCCCCCTCCCTCCCCTCCCCCCCGTCCCCCCTCGGTCGCACGCCCAGGGGACGACAAGCCGAGGGACGTGTGCAGCAGCGAGCGGTGTGGGCGCGTGCACTACGCCAACCCCAAAGTGGTCGTCGGCGCGCTCTGCCTCTGGGAGGACAAGGTGGGGCGCTGTGCGAGTGGCAGGACATGGCAGAATGGGAAGATTGAAGCTGGGATAGCTAGCAAAGAGGGTGGTGGGGATGTGCGAAAGGAGGAGAAAGGCCAGGGGATGAGGCTGTTTGTTTCTTCTTCTACCGTCGGCGCGCTCTGCCTCTGGGAGGACAAGGTGGGGCGCTGTGTTTGTATGTGGCAGACGTGGCCCAATAGGAACGGTTGTAAATGGGATGTGGGGATGAGCGAGAGGCAGAACAAGGTCAGAAAGTTGTGTGTTTCTGCCTTCCTTCCTTCCTTCCTTCCTCTGCGCTCTGACCTCACCCCTGTCATTCTGCCCTGTCCGCTCCCCTGTCACCTTGGCTTCCCTCAAGGTGCGTCGCTCCCGGTGCTTCCCAACCCCATCGCATCCTTCTTCCCAACCCCATCGCATCCTTCTTCCCAACCCCATAGCATCCTTCTTCCCAACCCCATCGCATCCTTCTTCCCAACCCCATCGCATCCTTCTTCCCAACCCCATAGCATCCTTCTTCCCAACCCCATAGCATCCTTCTTCCCAACCCCATCGCATCCTTCTTCCCAACCCCATAGCATCCTTCTTCCCAACCCCATCGCATCCTTCTTCCCAACCCCATAGCATCCTTCTTCCCAACCCCATAGCATCCTTCTTCCCAACCCCATCGCATCCTTCTTCCCAACCCCATAGCATCCTTCTTCCCAACCCCATAGCATCCTTCTTCCCAACCCCATAGCATCCTTCTTCCCAACCCCATAGCATCCTTCTTCCCAACCCCATAGCATCCTTCTTCCCTGCCACATCATGCCGTGCCATGCCACACCATGCCCCAACCCACCTTGCCACACCGTGCCACATCGTGCCACACCGTGCCATGCTCACAGGGTTCTTGGAGCTGGGCGAGTCGTCGAGGGAGGGCGCGGAGAGGGAGGTGCGTGAGGAGGCATGCGCAGAGGTGCGAGTGAGAAGCCTGCTGGCCGTCTACAACATTCCCAACCAGGTCAGCCTGCTGGCCGTCTACAACATTCCCAACCAGGTCAGCCTGCTGGCCGTCTACAACATTCCCAACCAGGTCAGCCTGCTGGCCGTCTACAACATTCCCAACCAGGTCAGCCTGCTGGCCGTCTACAACATTCCCAACCAGGTCAGCCTGCTGGCCGTCTACAACATTCCCAACCAGGTCAGCCTGCTGGCCGTCTACAACATTCCCAACCAGGTCAGCCTGCAGGCCGTCTACAACATTCCCAACCAGGTCAGCCTGCAGGCCGTCTACAACATTCCCAACCAGGTCAGCCTGCTGGCCGTCTACAACATTCCCAACCAGGTCAGCCTGCAGGCCGTCTACAACATTCCCAACCAGGTCAGCCTGCAGGCCGTCTACAACATTCCCAACCAGGTCAGCCTGCTGGCCGTCTACAACATTCCCAACCAGGTCAGCCTGCTGGCCGTCTACAACATTCCCAACCAGGTCAGCCTGCTGGCCGTCTACAACATTCCCAACCAGGTCAGCCTGCTGGCCGTCTACAACATTCCCAACCAGGTCAGCCTGCTGGCCGCCTACAACATTCCCAACCAGGTCAGCCTGCAGGCCGTCTACAACATTCCCAACCAGGTCAGCCTGCTGGCCGTCTACAACATTCCCAACCAGGTCAGCCTGCTGGCCGTCTACAACATTCCCAACCAGGTCAGCCTGCAGGCCGTCTACAACATTCCCAACCAGGTCAGCCTGCTGGCCGTCTACAACATTCCCAACCAGGTCAGCCTGCTGGCCGTCTACAACATTCCCAACCAGGTCAGCCTGCTGGCCGTCTACAACATTCCCAACCAGGTCAGCCTGCTGGCCGTCTACAACATTCCCAACCAGGTCAGCCTGCTGGCCGTCTACAACATTCCCAACCAGGTCAGCCTGCTGGCCGTCTACAACATTCCCAACCAGGTCAGCCTGCTGGCCGTCTACAACATTCCCAACCAGGTCAGCCTGCTGGCCGTCTACAACATTCCCAACCAGGTCAGCCTGCTGGCCGTCTACAACATTCCCAACCAGGTCAGCCTGCTGGCCGTCTACAACATTCCCAACCAGGTCAGCCTGCTGGCCGTCTACAACATTCCCAACCAGGTCAGCCTGCTGGCCGTCTACAACATTCCCAACCAGGTCAGCCTGCTGGCCGTCTACAACATTCCCAACCAGGTCAGCCTGCTGGCCGTCTACAACATTCCCAACCAGGTCAGCCTGCTGGCCGTCTACAACATTCCCAACCAGAGCATGGACTTACGACTCACCGTAAGTCCATGCTCAATCGTACGACTCACCGTAAGTCCATGCTCAATCGTACGACTCACCGTAAGTCCATGCTCAATCGTACGACTCACCGTAAGTCCATGCTCAATCGTACGACTCACCGTAAGTCCATGCTCAATCGTACGACTCACCGTAAGTCCATGCTCAATCGTACGACTCACCGTAAGTCCATGCTCAATCGTACGACTCACCGTAAGTCCATGCTCAATCGTACGACTCACCGTAAGTCCATGCTCAATCGTACGACTCACCGTAAGTCCATGCTCAATCGTACGACTCACCGTAAGTCCATGCTCAATCGTACGACTCACCGTAAGTCCATGCTCAATCGTACGACTCACCGTAAGTCCATGCTCAATCGTACGACTCACCGTAAGTCCATGCTCAATCGTACGACTCACCGTAAGTCCATGCTCAATCGTACGACTCACCGTAAGTCCATGCTCAATCGTATGACAGCGTGACTTGCAGGAACGTGACGTGCGTATGTCACTCATCTCTGCACATTCTTCTCCCTGCCTGTACCCACTTCGTATCCTCCTCCGCCACTCATCCCTGCCCATTCTCCCCCTGCCCATCCTCCCCCTGCCCATCCTCCCCCCTGCCCATCCCCCCCCTGCCCATGCGCCACCCACCAGGTGCAGATCATCTACCTCGCTGACCTCCTCTCGCCACACTGCGCTGCTGGTAGGCCCGCCTGCTGCTCTGCCAACCCAGTCACCGTGCCTTTTCTCCCACCAGTAGCCGTCTTATGCCCTTCACCCTCTCGTTCTCACCCTCCTGTCACATGCATCCCTCTGCCAACGTCACCTGTCACATCTGTCGAATGTGTTTCCTGTAGTTGAGTCACAAATACTCCTGCTGCTTACTCTCGTCTCATTCCCAGCCTTTTCAAACATCCGTCGCCATGTGCCCCGTGTCTTCTATCCGATTGCTTGTGTGCTCACGCCACCATACCCCCCTTCTGAACCACGTGTCACGGCGCTGTCACCGGCAGGGTCAGAGACGCTAGAGGCGGGTCTCTTTGAGTGGGACGACATTCCCTTCCACCACCTCGCCTTCCCCACTGTATGCTCCTCGCCTTCCCCACTGTATGCTCCTCGCCTTCCCCACTGTATGCTCCTCGCCTTCCCCACTGTATGCTCCTCGCCTTCCCCACTGTATGCTCCTCGCCTTCCCCACTGTATGCTCCTCGCCTTCCCCACTGTATGCTCCTCGCCTTCCCCACTGTATGCTCCTCGCCTTCCCCACTGTATGCTCCTCGCCTTCCCCACTGTATGCTCCTCGCCTTCCCCACTGTATGCTCCTCGCCTTCCCCACTGTATGCTCCTCGCCTTCCCCACTGTATGCTCCTCGCCTTCCCCACTGTATGATCCTCGCCTTCCCCACTGTATGCTCCTCGCCTTCCCCACTGTATGCTCCTCGCCTTCCCCACTGTACGCTCCTCGCCTTCCCCACTGTATGCTCCTCGCCTTCCCCACTGTACGCTCCTCGCCTTCCCCACTGTATGCCCCTCGCCTTCCCCACTGTATGCTCCTCGCCTTCCCCACTGTATGCTCCTCGCCTTCCCCACTGTATGCCCCTCGCCTTCCCCACTGTATGCTCCTCGCCTTCCCCACTGTATGCTCCTCGCCTTCCCCACTGTATGCTCCTCGCCTTCCCCACTGTATGCTCCTCGCCTTCCCCACTGTATGCTCCTCGCCTTCCCCACTGTATGCTCCTCGCCTTCCCCACTGTATGCTCCTCGCCTTCCCCACTGTACGCTCCTTGCACGCACCACGCACTCACACACCCACGGACACACGCACAAGTGCACGCACCCACGCACCCACGCACGCACGCACGCACTCACGCACACACGCACACACGCACACGCGCACGCACCCACGCACCCACGCACGCACTCACGCACACATGCACTCACGCACGCACGCACCCACACCACACATACCCTCATTGGGAGCAGTTTGGCATGGGCGTTGGAGCACGCGCGGCAGCAGTTGCAGCACCCACAGGCACTCATTCAGCCACAGCTGAGGACCAAAGTGGTCGGCACCACTGGCATGTTCAGCGGCTCCTATGTGGATGCATAACCAGAGTTCCTGCTAGGGTCGGGCTCTGAACTCTGCGCTGACAAGCTCTTGCTGGGTCGCAGTGAAGACTCTTGCAGGGGACGTTACTGGTAAAAATCTGTCAACCAGCCTCTGTCGTCGTAGGTTTTATTTGCATAGTGGAAATGTGGTGCAAAGCCCAAAGTTTCAGGTTCCATTTCAGTTGTAAAGTACCGGTACAACACATTTTCGACATTGATGAGTTAGTTATAGAGCGTATTATTCCACAATTATGCCATCCATTGTACCAGTACATTAAGAGTAACCAGGAATACTATCTTGTATCACTAAGAAATGACATTACCAGATTATTCACCCTCGGATCTCCTCGACCACTCTTCCTTGGCTTTCCATCAGATTGTGACGAGACTCTTCGTTTTGAGGCACGCTGATCGATCAGGGTGCACCCCTGTCAGAACTCTGTGATTCAGAGTGGCCCCAAAATTTTAAGCTGAAAAAACAGACAACTCAAAGTTTTTCAGGCTGAACTTTCAGCGTCACCCCCCGGATAAGCCCCCATGGGGGGGTATAATAAAACATGTTTTTTTAGGGGGGTGGGCTTATAATGTAGCAAATTTATAAGCGCCAGGGCTTATATAATGACATATATGAAATTTACTGGTTTTGACATCAGAGTGTTCATCTCGTTCTTGCGATCTGATTCGAGTCAAAATTAGCGAGGGGTGTGAATGAAATCTCGCGTAAGTTGGCAGGGATGGATTTCGTGCCAACACACAGAGTCAAAATGAGTCATGTGTACCCCATGACAGGTCATTCTGACTAGACGCGCGCGAAGTGAGTCGCGCGAGGGTGAAGGCCATCGAAATTCGGGACGCAAAATGTGTGTTTCGTTACAGATGTTTCATAAAAAAATATAAAAAACAATACCGATAAAAGCGCTTATACTCTATAAGCCATCAGGGGTGCGCTTATAATCGAGGACCGGATATAAGCGCCATATGCCAATTATAAGCGCCTGGCGCTTATCCTAGGGTGGCGCTTATCCTAAGGTGACGGTACTGTAAAACTTGAGCTGATCATGCATTTTGATGAAAACACAATAAAACATGTCACATATCTGAGCCAGAGTCTGAACCTCTACAGGAGCATGAGAAGAAACAAGGAATGAATGAACTATGAATGAATTGGGTACAAGTACTAACCCTAATTGGGTTGTACCCCTTATGGACTACACCACTATAGCCTACACAATATGCATGAGCTATAATGTTCTGACACACCCCCATAGGCAAAGCGGGGGAGAACAAGGGGTCACAAGACCAGTCAAGCAAAGCAAAGCAAAGCAAGCTCAGGGTGGATCACAAAGTCACCACACATTCCGAGCACAAGTTCAAGGCCACAAGGCCAGTTCACATGCAGGAGT